TGATTGGTCGAATGCTGTTGTTTTATTAATTCCCACCTGTAGTTACCAGCTGGGTGCGGGTCAGTTCATCCCACAACCATTTCACCTCGGACTGTTTCAAGTTTTTATTACCCTTGAGTCACAGACTCATTGGGAAGAACAAAAATATTTACAAAACAAAAAAAGCAATACAAATATCCATATATACTAATATATAAACACAGTATTACAAACAAGAATCATGATATGGAGAGTAGAGTGACGGTATATTAATTGTTACTATTCCATTTAATCTCTTCATGATTTTCGGGTAACGAACTTAAACTCAGCAGTCGAGTATCGACCCCTTCTTAGTCCTGATGCTAGCTAAAACTTGATTATATTCTTCCTGTAATCTTATTATATATGTACATTAATACTCCTATACATGTATATTGATATTTATATAATATATGTTTACATCATTTATATCTATCTATACTAATATTTGTGACTGTCGTCTGTCTGTCTGTCTGTTCGGGGTTGGCGGCTACACTAGGTCTGCCCCAAGTCTGAAATTTGGGGTATAGGGGTAGCTCGGACCGGGGAGTAACATAGGCCAGGTGGCGTTAGTCTACCACTTCCGGTTTCGGAGTTATGACCCCCAAAGCGAAGCCGGGTATCCTGCTAGTATAAAATAAAACCAAGTACGAATTCGAAGTCCTAAAAAATGTTATAGGCAAAACAGTGTATTCAAGCAAAATAGTGTAATCAGCAAATGGACTGCTCCTCGTGTACAAAATACACGACAAACAGTGGTAACAGGTGTCCGGAAGAGTAAGCTTACCCTGCCTGGCTTGTTTCGGTATCCTGTGAATAAAATATTGTTTTAAAAAAAAAAAAATCTCTTATTTTATAAGAAAAATATAAAAAAAGGTTTACAAGTTCAGATACATTTTTAGTACATAAAAGATTAAATAATTTAAAAACACTGGGGTTCGAATAATAATACTTTTTTTATATATTATTATCTCAGATTTTTATAAATTGAACAAATTAAAACAAAATGGTACTCAACTTCAATGTCTTCAAAATTACACAATGTACATAATTGTTTACTTCTCTCAATATATTTAGTACTATATCGTAACCTTTCAATATTTAAATTATGACTGAACAAACGGATTCTTGTAATTTCACGTCTGTATTTTCTGTCTATTGGTTTAGTCAAATAATATTGTAAGCCAAATGTATTCACAATATGCTTATAAATGATACATTTACTTGAAAATTCAAATTTCTCAATACACTCCTGTCTAAATATGTCTAATAATCTGTCTGATGATATGGATACAATTTGTGTTTATGAGATGAGCAGGTTTTTCCAATAAATCTCCCAAGCCAATTTTAAAAAGTTCCTTCTTAACATTCAGGACCCACGGGTCATTATTTATTAACATATTAGAGTAGCAAGAATTAAGTTATGTCAAAGAACGTATTCTAATCCAGTATTTAAATATCCGTAACTTTCTCGTAATGATTAAAGGGAAACGTCCAAGTTCATAATAGATCATGTGGGAATTTGTGGTTGTTCTTGTATCTAAGATTTTCCTAAGGTACCTTAAATGTATTTGTTCTATATCATGTCTCGAATGAAAACCCCATAATTTAGAATACAAGAGATAAAAGTATAAAAAATACAAAGTTTAGTTACAATATTAAAATAATTTTCATTACAAACTTTTGGGACTGAGAAGAGAGCTTTTTGACCCTGTTCAGCAATGTTCAGCCTCCATCTTGTAAATATGTAAATAACCTATCACTCATATGTCATGTATTTGATCTGAGTTGTGAATAAAATTCTGTTCTGTTCTATAATTAGATATTTACCAATAAAAATTATTTTACCGGGCTGTTTTATCCCGGGCTGTTTCATCCCCTTGTTATTATAATTAACTGAGCTGTACTTATCGTTAAATAAACTGTTAACACTTACTTATTGTTACATAAACAATAATGTATGGAATAAATAAGTTTTACTCGTCGATTTTTGTTGATTACCAATCACGACCAGGATTAGTTCACCGCTGTATATTCGTATTGTTTGTTAATTGGCGTTACGATTTTAGATCTTAGATCAGTTCACCGATGTTTTTGTAGTAAAGTATATTCATATTGTTTTTATAATTGTCGTTATGATTTTAGATTAGTTCACTGATGTTTTTGCAATAAAGTATACTCGTATTGTTTGTTAGTTTATGATGTCTAACATCATTTACCTTCTTTATAAAAAAAGGTATTTTATAATTACATATTGACAGCTTAATCACTCGCCAAAATACATCATGGACTCTACGTATTACCCAATAATCAACTAAATTGTGCAGAAGCCCGCAATCAAGTAATTACACTGTCTGAAAATGGCCAACAGCTTGGATATATTGACAGTGACTTTTTTTGGCGCCAGTCTAATGTACAGTCTTGCGAGATTATCGGACTGCCATTGTAAGCTTGACTTATGACCACGTGTACAGATGGAAGACTGGTTAATTCATTTGTGATTTAAAAAAGATACATTACCTGGGACGTGATTTACCGATTTCCAATTGTATAATTACCTGGGACGTGATTTACCGATTTTTGATTTATTTGTCAATGGTGGAATACTAAGTTTATAGGATAATGGATAATATATAATACCACGACCACGGTAAGGTGATTATCTATGGGTGTGCATTTTTTATATTCCCCTTTTTTATTCGTACTTCATATGTAAATAATTGAATCAAAATTAACCAATCGGATAAACGGCTTGCGGGAAATTAAAAGGTTCATCTAATTTTTCAACGGCGTACATAAATTAATTGTGTGTTGATTTTTCAACGTATCTCGGGAAATTAAATGGCTCGTCTAATAAGTAAAGGCCGAAGATAAGTAAACGGTGTGTTGATTTTTCAACTTATCTCGGGAAAGCAGACAGCTCGTCTAATAAGTAAACGTCGTAGATAAGTGAACGGGTCGGCCATTTTTAAACGACTCTCGGAGAAACTAAACCCGTTACCATTAAACTAAGTCATAGTACTAACTAACCCATTTATGTAATTCTTAAACGATTTTTATCAATTATCGAACGATGTTTTGACAGTAAACTCTATGCATACTTTCCAGCGCTAAAAAACCCATTCTAAATGATATCAAATCCCTAGTGTTGGGTGAACCTAGATGCTGATTTCTTCTTCCATCAGGTGCTTGAGACTGTGGAGGTATAGACAATCTAATGTTAGTAATCTTTTTTGTGTCAGTTGCTCTTGAATTGATATCTGTTACGATTTTATCACTTCTAATTTTTACCTTCTCCCCAGCTTCTCTTCTTTTTCTTACCTCCTCTCGAGATATTATTTTCTTCCCTTTGTTTGGGTGTGTAATCTCTTGCGATGATAACATTACTGTACAATTTATGGTAGAGTAGCTTGTCCCTGTTGTCTCTCCAGGCATCAAATATCTTTTTTCTATCTGCAGGATTTAAAAGGATTAGTTTCATAGGTCTGGTTTTATTTGGTTGCCTAATTCCAATCCGAATAATATTGGTAAAATCCACCTGTGGTGAATTAATGACATCGAGAACTTCCCATAAACTTCCTTCATCTTCAGTTTTTTTCAGGTCTGGATTATCCGTCTTTCGTTATTTTCTGCAATTTGCTCTCTTACAATGGATGAAAGATCATTTGAGTGCTCATTTGATAGTTCATGTTTGACTTCATTTTTCATGTCATGTACTCATGCCTTCACCTGTTTAGGAACATCCAATTTAAGTTGATCCATTTTGTGTTCTGTTCTACTATTCTTAGCCTCTCTTTGTTATCTGTATCAATTTGTTTTAAACTTTGATTGATAGAACTAAATTTAGGAAAGTTTATGATAGAACTAAATTTAGGGAAGTTTATCTTACAAACCCTACATGTCCAAATGAGATTAACAAAATTGTCTTGATTCAGTACATCGTAGGTTGCCTACTTATTTTTGAGCATAAAAGACAAAAATATTGAGAACACATTTCGCACTGTAAAGCTAAATCACCCTCATCAAGGTCTGTCTCGCAGGTAGGGCACTGTATTGTTTCTTTACTGTCAGGGCGAAATTGTTTTTTCAGATTTGCAGATATCATTTGATTCCATTTTATTTTAATAATTCTTATTGAAAATTGGGAATAAATGCTGTAATTGATGAAGGCTAATTCTCTACCTAATTAGCTTTGGCTAGAAGGATTGTCTATACTATTTGTTTAACACAATAATGACAGTGTGTCAAAAAAGAAATAAAGAAGGAATTAAATAGTCTACATACATATTGTCTTCGCGTTTCACAGCTTAACCTGTAGTCATAACCTGTTTTCTTCAGTATAAATAGAATGCCTACTACGCCAACACACTCAAGGGTCAGTATCACCTTGTGGAAAAGTCCTCTAATATAACAAGTTTTGTTTGTTAAACAGATTGGACATCTTATGAACCATATAACCATATGTTCATCTCAAATCGCCACTAATCATCACTGGAATGAAACTTTACATATCACTGGTCTGTGTTGTTGATGATTTTATAAAATGGCGCCGACCGCGTCCCTGGTGTAGACACCCGCACAAACAATACATAGACGTTTTGAGACACTCATTTGGGTTAAAAGTTTTTTTAAAATTTCTTACGAATTGTTAGCACACTGGATAATGAACTTTATAACCATAAATTATACGGTACTAAAAAAAAATTGCTAAAAAGATTCAAAAAGCAGAAAGTTGAATAAATTTCATGGAGCTCTGAAGCAGCTCGACCTGCTACCTGCTCACGCATGCGTCTGTCTCCTATGTAACTGTCTAAGCTTTTTAATATTTGTCCTTTTGTGTGCTAACAGGCAATGTTTAATAAAGTTTGAGAAAATACTAACAGTAGTCAAAGTTTTGACTGCAACAAAATAATTTACACAAATTCCTGGGGTTTTTTTGTATTTAATTCATTAAGTTGATTCGGATCGCATAATAAACTCACCTTTCCTTTAATTATATCATATATACAACTATGTAGAATAATTTCACCTCTAGAACCTGTTGACTGTTCTACTGTAAACAGTCGCTCTGATTGAAGATGACTGTAAAGAAAAATAAACCCTTTCAACATCATGTTCTTCTTGGTCAAACAACCAAATGCATTATAATTTCAAACCAGCGGATGCCATGCAAGATTCACCCACATTTTGCAAGAGATAGATAGATAACAAACTAAACCAGCGGCTGCCAGGCAGGATACGCCCACATTTGTGAGAGATGGATAGAGAACAAGCTAAAAAGAAAATGATTTTTCCTACAATCAAGGGCCATAATTCATGAAGTTACAATTCGATATGCGCAAATATCGAAAGGAACCAAGATCAACATGCATTTCAAGTTTCATCAAAATCGGATTAAAATTGTAACCTCTACAGGGTCCACAACCTTGATATACCATATTTTTACATCTTTCGCGTACAAGCGGCGGCCACTTTGTCCAGCAGTTTTGGTTTGATTTTCAGGAAATTTGAACTCAACCTTTATTACGGTGTTACAGTGATATATTCAAACGATTTTTAAAATCAGATAATAAGTGTGACCTTCAGAGGGACCACAAGCTAAAAGAGGCGATTTTTCGTATAATCAGGGGCCATAATTCAGGAAGTTACGATCCGATATGCGACAATATCGAAAGGAACCAAGATCTTTAGTTTATAAACATGCATTTCAAGTTTCATCAAAATTGAATTAAAATTGTGACCCATACAGGGTCCACAACCTTGATTTACCATATTTTTACACTAGTCGCGTACAAATGGCGGCCATTTTGTCCGGCAATTTTGGTCTGATTTTCACGAAATTCAAACTCAACCTTCCTTAGGGTGTAATGGTGATATAATAATACGGTTTTTTAAATCAGATAAAAATTATGACCTCTATAGGGTCCACAAGCTAAAAACGCGATTTTTTGTACAATCAGGGGCCATAATTCAGGAAGTTACGGTCCGATATGCACGAATATCGAAAGGAACTGAGATCTTTGGGTTATAAACTTACATGTCAAGTTTCAACAAAATCGGATAAAAATTGTGACCTCTATAGGGTCCACAAGCTAAAAACATGATTTTGCATACAAACAGGGGCCATAATCCATGAAGTTTCGATCCGATACATGCCAATATCGAAAGCAGCCGAGATCTTTTGGGGATAAACCTATATTTCAAGTTTTGTCAAAATCGGACAAGAATTGTGACCTGTAGAGAGTCCACAAACAAATTGTGGACGGACGGATGTCCGGACGGATAGGGGCAACGACAATATACATCCACATGAAAATGTGGGCGTATAAAAATAATGTGATTATTCGTACAATCAGGGGCCATAACCCATTAAGTTATGGTCTGAAATTCGCGAATATCGAAAGGAACTATGATCTTTGGGATATAAACATATATTTTCAGTTTCATCAAAATCAGACAAAAATTGTGACCTCTAGAGGGTCCACAACCTACGTATTACACTATTTACGTACACGGAGCAGCCAAGTTGTCCGGCAGTTTTGTTTTGATTTTCCCGAAATTCGAACTCAGCCTTCCCTACAGTGTAATGGTGATATATGTAAATAGTTTTTAAAATAAGATAAAAATTGTGACCTCTAGAGGGTCCACAAGCTAAAAATGTGATTTTCACGAAATTCGAACTCAATCGTCATTATGGTGTAACGGAGGGACCACAAGCAAAAAACGAGAATTTTCGTACAATCAGGGGCCATATTCCAGGAAGTAAGGGTCCGATATGCGCAAATATCGAAAGGAACTGAGATCTTTGGGAGATAAACCTATATTTCAAGTTTCATCAAAATTGGATAAAAATTGTGACCTGTAGACTGTCCCCAAACAAGTTTAGGACCGTCGGATGGCTGGTTGTGACGACAATATACGTCCACATAAAAATGTGGGTGTATAAAATTAAATCCAACAAAAGATAGGTTGCCAGGCAACGAAATCTTTCACCCACAGCAGCTAAGTCGTCTGGACAGTCAACAAGAATTGTCGCATATTTTTTCTTTTGTCAGTAATGAAACATTTATAATACACTAAAATCTAATTAAGAGTAATAACTCATTAAGTAATTATCATAAAATCATTAGAATTTGTTTGGCTTCCTGTTCTGCACAATGCTAACGTTTAGTATACAAAACATTTACTATCATGGAATTAGCTGTTTAAGTTATCAAAAATCATTGAAAATCAATATACTTGTTCGGCGCAAGACCTTAACAACTGTGTATCGACATTTTTCGAAGTAATCTAAGGCCATAACTCTAGCAATAATTATTGGAAATCTTTGAAAGTATATAGGTGTCTTCGTCTCATGACCGTCAACACTGTGTATAAATTTAAAATCAATCGGATCATAACTTTGATCTGTAGAGCATCCACCAGATTTTTCAAAGTGATCAAGGGCTATGACTGTGGCAATAAGCATCCAAAAATGTTGAAAATCAATAGACTTCTTTATCTCATAAACTTAAACACTGCGTATAACTTTAAAGTCAATCGGATATTAACTTTAGCCTCTAGAGCGTCCACAAGATATTTCAAAATGATCAAGGGCCATAACTCTGGCAGTAATTATCGGAAATCGTTGAAATTCAATATGCTTCTTCATCTCATGACCTTAAACATTGACAGACCGATGTGGACGAATACAAACACAATGCCATTATAAATTTCAATCTGATTAAAATACAGATCTATATTTCGTTTCGTTTTTTTATACTTTCGATGACCTACATGTACACTACATGAAGATCTGACAAGTTATAGCCATAGGTCACATCAGGGGTCAAAAGACCGACTTATGACCCTATGGCGTCAGACATTTGATTAATCAATCAGCATGGATGTTACTAGTGGATTTACCCACAGTTCCGCGCAAAAAAGGTCAAACGCTCGATTCGACAGACCATTTGATTGGCTGACCCCTCATTTCAAGCAGAACACGAGTTAAATAACAACGCTTCCAGATCCAAGTGTAGTAAAGACAAGTAAAACGAAATTTTGAACTATAAAAACGAAACGAAATAGTATCTGTATTTTAACCAGATTGTTATAAATTTGTGACTGAAAGAGCTCAATTTAACTTTAATTTTATGACAAGCCATATCTTCCAAAATATGTTACATTCTTATGAAACAATATGTGATTTTGTCAGATACAGCATACTATAATATTCGGTAGCACCATTTCTATTGATCTGTAGACAATTTATGGTTTGTATCGTAGGAGTGAAAGTTGAACTGTTGTTGTAAGTAAAAAATTACAAGTGCAATTTTAAATCCGGTTTTCTCAAACCTAAATGTATTTTAAAATATAACCAGTTGATATTGTCCATTAATAAAATTTTAAAACAGCTGAAGTTGCCAAAGTTAACTATGAGGTTTGAAAAGATAACAAAATTTACCTTCAAACTCCTTGGTTTGTTAAATTATGTAAGAGGTATATCTGCCTATTACTGGTCTTTATTTTGGGCATCAAATGTTATATATATTTTGTAACATGCTTAAGGGTGAATCTTGCGTTTTGATTGGTCAATTAGACACTGTCGATTGGACAATAACACCCCCCTGTTTTAGTAATTTCTTTTAAAATGCTAAAATAGCATGTTACAATGTCGATTAACACTTCCTGTTTCGCATTTAGAGGGGTGTTACTGTCCAATAGACATTTCCTGAGATTTTACATTAGAACCCGCGACGCTAACGCGTCTTGGGTCCTAATGATTTCAGGACATGTCTATTGGACAATAACACCCCTCTAAATGCAAAACAGGAAGTGTTTATCTCCTAAATTAATTAGGCATTTATTCACATGATAAGCCCATAATCAACTCTCTTGACCACCAGACGGCTGTGATATTGAATGGATTAAACCAATAATTCAACGTTAAAATGGATAATCAAGATTTTATGATCGTAGCAATGGTACCAGACAATCAAGACTACTGTCAAAACACTCATATAAACTAGCTCTGAATAAGGTAATCTGACTGAAATTTTCAATATATTCATTTTACTTTATCAATTTTTGAACTATTATAGCAAGAATGGCAAGTTCTTTATCTAAATCTTACATAATGCATCTTTAATAACTAGACTAATAATTCAAATAAAACTTTATCTACAAAAAATGAGATCTAAAATAAATCTTACCTAAATTTAGCATGTAACGGATCACTCTCTGTTCTAGTAAAGTGTAGCACGTCGACGGAAGGTCTGAAAAAGACAACATGCCTTGCATTTTGTGTATGATTGGCCAATTTTTTGTTACAAATTATAATTATATAATGAAAATTGACATAAAATAAATGTGAAATATAACTGTACAAGATGATTCTACAACAAGAGCACGATACTGCTGCAATATACGTCCACATTCCTGCTTTGATTGATATGGTACATTTCAAAATGAAGAGAATGAAATATCAAATGGCTGCAACGACTGTAATATGACAAGAGGCAAAGAAGGCTAGGTGTTGAGTTTGTTTTGCCAAAATTTACAGACTAATTATTAACAAAAAGGTAGGTGTGACACCGCCCCAGGGGGGTGGGGCATGCATCAAAATAAATAGTTGCTATCTTTACAGTATAAGGAATAAATATGCCAAGTTCCAACTCCAAGATGATCCATTCAGAATTGTAGTCTGTAAACGATAAATACAAAAATTGGGTGTAGATGGAACAACATAAATAGGTACAACCCTGTTATTGAAATGATTGATATGCTGATTTGAACAAAATCTGTTCATAATTGCAACCTGTAGAGTATTTAAAGACAAAAAATTAAAGACCACATAAGACAAAAAATCTAAATTTCATGTATGTATAGCCAATGGTTACTATATCCACTTTACGGCAAGTTCACACCAATCTGATTAAAATTAAATTGGCTGTTATAGTCCAGTCAATCTGGGGTTAGACCCAAAACAAATTGCAACAGAATTAATTTCACTGGGATGCATTTCAGTATAGTCCCCTAAACAACATCCCAAAAATGTTCCAAAATATTTTTGGTGGAAATGGGTCAAATTGCGTAATATGCTAATTAGCATAATTTCAGTTTTCAAAAATTGACTTAATGCTATAACTTGGCTATTAAATGTTCAAATTTGGTGGAAATTGTGTCTAAACCCATGTTTTCGTGGCCTGGGACGCAAATAAACACATTTGGAATATAATCACTTTATTACATAATGCACAATATGCAAATTAACTGCCGCCATTAGTGAAAAACTTATATTTCCCCCTAAATCTGAAACTCTTTGAATTAGCTCCATGAAACCAGTATCTACGCTCATAATTTCAGGGTCAAGGGTGCCGAAAAACACTAGGAGAACATCACAGTGGTATTGCATAATATAGAATATGCAAATTAGATGCCTCGGCCATGACTGAAAAATACAGTATTAGTCCAGACTTAAAGCATTTGCAATAACCTGAAAATCAAGTTCCCACACCCATTTTATTACTTTCAAAGAAGTATCTGTACCTCATTATGGAGAACATTCGACTGATTGCATTAGTACCAGAGCACTGTTGTCATTGGGGGGGGGGGGGGTCACATAGCCCTGATGAAAACAAACAAATTATCAAAACTTTATCATCAGAATTGTCTGAAACTGGTTTCGGAGGTCCTACAGCTATGTCCTTTGAAGTCTCCACAAGTATGTCAGTGCAGTCCAGTCGATGTTTTTTATAAGTGCACCAATCAGTGCCACACCTAGTTTAACAGTTACACCTGAACAGTCACAGGAACTCTTTAGGTATTAAGAAACCCTCGACGTTTTTCATCACCATTATATGTAATCGTTATAAAAACATAACTGTTAATCTTATTGTCAGTGATTTTATTTGTTTTTAATATAGTTTATTAATTGATGAATGCACACTATAATGTATCTATACATTAATCATTATCAAAACATTATAACATAGCTGTTAATTTTATTTCAAAGTTAATCACATAAATAAGCATAATTGAAAATTGAGCACAATGTTTATAATAAAATGAACAGTAAATTTGCATGAGTCCTTGCTAATGGTGCTGTTGTCTGGGAATGCGAGAAACGCAGACATGGTAAATGCAAAACCACAGTAAAGATCCAGAGAGAAGAGGTCAGCCAGTCAGAAAAAAGTGAACAAACTCATGCTGGTGACCCAGTACGTCAAATGATTCTTGGGGTGAAAAATATCATAAAGAGTCAATCCACTGTAACTCAAGAGATTGCAGAACCAATTGTCACTGCTGCAGTCTCAAAACTACCAGAAGGAACCATTTCCCGGCTTCCACCTATTAGACACCTCAACGTACTATAAGATGTTTCAAGACTACTACCAGGAAAGCTGGTACCTCTACCACCAACTCAACAGGCCTTGAAAATACCGGACCAATACAAAGAAAATTTTAATGGGGAATCTTTCCTTCTGTCTGGCAGTGGTACAAACAATCCAGGTGAAATTTTACTATATTCAATTTCAACAGTGACCAACCTGAGGGTCCAGACCTCAACCGATCATCGGTTGGCTGATGAAACCGCTGAAGTTGCACCTGAAATATTTTACCAGATTTACACCATACATGCTCCTATCGACAACCACATAGTTCCACGTGTTGGTGCTCTACTTAAAAATAAGACTGGGGATACCAAATCCTATCGACAACCACATAGTTCCACGTGTTGGTGCTCTACTTAAAAACAAGACTGGGGATACCAATTTCCGGGTGTATTCCCAGTTGCTAGTATTGAAGTCAGATTTTCGTCTGACTTTAATGACTTTGAGATTACTAAAAAAAAAGTCTATCCAGAGAGCTTTTCCTGAAACTGAGATATACCGTAAATTGCAAACGTAGGGACCTCATCAACGTTACCAAACAGACAATGAATCCAATCTTGACTTCAGAATGATACCGACATTTGGAGACCTGATAGTCGTAACCGTAGGAATATGTATATAATTGAACTATGGTCCAGCTTCCAAGAATGAACAACAATATAGAAGGGTGGCACAGTTAGTTGTTGCCATGTCAACATATGGAAGTTTCTAGATGCCCTGAAGAAACACCAAGCTCTACAAGAAGTTACTATGGAACAGATAATAGCTGGAGAACAGCGTCTAATGACGGTCCAATTACCACGCGACTGGCCTAATCATAATCACCGAATTATTGTCTTACATTGTTAATATATAGATTAGACATTTGTGATTGGAATATTTTAGAGTGAATTTACAATGCCGTAGATCCATTTAAGCTGCCTTTGCTTAAATAGGCCACATGTCAAATGAAGACGACCCAAGCAATTAACGCATTTACCGGTAATTTGGATAACCCCGTAATACTTGATATCACAAACTATTCTCTATAAGTACAGAAATACAAATGGTGCCAGTCATTTGTTGATATATTCATTATTAGCTACATATACTATTCAAAAAAAGTAGGGGATATTTGATTTTTAAGTGTTATTAAAGTCACCTAATGAAACTGACGAAGAAACAAATGACAAAATGAAATGAAGTTCACATTCATCGATTTATTCCAAATGATCGTTAGACTAAGTAAGGCACAGACTGACCATTATAAGGGTAAAATGATACCCGGGATCAAACAGCAAAGTTACCACAGCATCACAACCAAGTCAGTAACGGGTAAATCCTCCTCTGTTTGCCAAACAAGCATTGATCCGACGTGGCATACTCCTAATGAGACGTCTATGGTCATTTTGGTCCAGATTGTCCCATTCCTGTTGCAACGCAGCAGCAAGTTCTTGGACATTGGCAGGACGTTGTTGACGTTGACGTAACCTCTGTCCAAGCATGTCCCAGACATGCTCGATGGGGGAGAGGTCGGGACTCAGTGCTGGCCAAGGTAATGTGGTGATGTTCTGTTGTTGGAGGTAACCTGTAACGATCCTGGCCCTGTGACATCTTGCGTTGTCATCCTGGAAGATGAAACGGCGGCCATGACGTCGTGCGAACGGCACAACATGGACTGCCAAGATCTTGTCCCGGTAGTACTGGCCTGTAACACGCCCTGCAACAACATGTAAAGCCGTTCTTCCAGCAACAGTGATGCCTCCCCACACCATAACAGAACCACCCCCAAATCGATCATGTCTGATGACGTTAACGTCTTGGAAGCGCTCGTTTCGACGACGCCACACCCTCCTACGTCTGTCCAAAAAATCAACAGTGAACCTTGACTCATCTGAAAACATCACATTGCTACAGCGTCGATTATCCCAGTGTTGACGATCCCTACACCAACGACGTCTTGCCTGAATGTGATGGTCTCTCAAACAAGGGATCACGCGAGGACGTCGGGCGCGAAGGTGACCCCTATGCAGTCGATTCCGAATCGTCTGGCCACTCACTCTCACACCAGTGTCTGTTTGAAGACGAGCGCTGATCTGATTTGCTGTGATGACACGATTTCTCAAGGCCAAGGTACGGATAAATCGATCCTGGGCTTGAGTTGTCGCCCTTGGTCGACCTGAGCGTGGTCTGTCCTGTACAGATTGTGTATCACGGTATCTGGACCATAGCCTGCTTATGACAGACTGAGAAACATTCATCGTCCGCGCCACAACCGCCTGTGTTGTGTCGATCTGTAGCATGCCAAGGGCACGTAACCTTTCATTTTGGGTAAGCCGACGCATATCAAAATTTGTTTTCTGGTCACTAAAACAATTAAACTGATGTTTCCACCCTGGAATTCAATGCCACAATGACTGTAACATTCAAAGTCAGAGTCGTGCAAATCTTGGGTTGGACCCCCATGATGATCCCAAGCATCACCTGCATTCCATGCGGTAGCTATTGGTGCGTTTGGGCGTCACATGTAACTGGAAATGTTTCTTCTGTTAGGTTCTATAGTGACTTTTTTCGTAGTCATTTGCATATTTTAGTATTATGCCCCCAAAATCAAATATCCCCTACTTTTTTTGAATAGTATATAATAATAATAACCATTTCTATACACAAAGAACAACTTTTGAAATTCACAGCGAATATGGAATTTTCCGATGACTATGCATAACAATAGATTGCCCTCATTTCTCAGCCAATCAACGCTGGAAATCTTATTACCATGTACGGTTCCATGCACTACGGGCGTAGTAAATGAGGTTAAACTTTGGTGCGAAAATTGCACGGGATTCACGGACATGAATATCAAATGAAATGAAATGGAGTTTAACGTCCTATTGTTCTGCTCCTAAACTGGGCTAATGAAGACGGGCATATGCCATACAGTGTGCGATGAGGGAATTTTGCCCAGGCAGCGGCACTATCGCCTACTCTTATATCGAATTCCAACTGCCAAGGGATCTTTTACGTGCACGCCAATATGTACACGGGACCTTGGTTTTTTGTAACATCCAAACGACTAGACAGCTGTCCTTGTTAGGCCCTCCGTCCTGCATCACTGATAAGGCGAAACCACGCCGGAATATCTGGATGAACTTTCTCGGCCAATGCAGGGATCGAACACCCGACCTCCAGGCTAGCGAGCCAGCGTCTTACCCACTTAGCCACACTTGATCATACATGGAGTTCCTGATGCCGTTTGGTGAGTGATTAAACTGTCAGTGTAATTGTAAAATACATTTATTATAAAAGCAGCGGCTGCCAGGCAGGATACGCCACATTTTCGAGAGATGGATAGAGAACAAGCTAATTCAGGAAATTATAATTCGATATGCGCAAATATCGAAAAGAACCAAGATCTTTGGGTTATAAACTTACATTTCATGTTTCAACAAAATCGGATAAAAATTATGACCTCTATATGGTCCACAAGCCAAAAAACAGGGGCCATAATTCAGGAAGTTACACAGTCCGATATGCGCAAATATCGAAAGGAGCCGAGATCTTTGGGTTATAAACTTACATTTCAAGTTTCATCAAAATAGGATTAAAATTATATAGGGTCCACAACCTTGATACACCATATTTTCACGCTATTTGAGAACAAAGGGCGGCCATTTTGTCTGTCAGTTTTGGGCCGATTTTCACGAAATTCAAACTCAGCTGTCCTTAGGGTGTAACGATGATATAACGCGATTTTTCGTACAATCAGCGGCCATAATTCAGGAACTTGATCCGAAATATGCCAATATCGAAAGCAGCCGAGATCTTTTGGAGATAAACCTATATTTCAAGTTTCGTCAAAATCAGGTAAGAATTGTGACCTGTACAGTGTCCACAAACAAATTGTGGACGGACGGACGGGGGCGATGACAAGATACGTCCACATGAAAATGTGGGCGTATAAAAAAAGTTAAACGATGTTAGACATTATAAACTTATCTTATCACAAATGTTTATCCATGGAATAATTTATATTCAGATTTCATATCAAGTCAATTAAACCAACAAATAATACGAGGCTACTTTATTACAAAAACATCGGTGAGCAAAGCTAATTGATTAATGGGTAAATAATAATTATAAACAACCGATGAGTAAAACTTAATTATTTTATACAATTAACGTGTGTACAATTAGTTCGTTCGTGGGGGTATTACTCACACATTCCACCTAGAGTGATGTCTTTGATCTGGCCGTCGTAAAAAATATAATTACCTAATCAGCATTCTTAATTCATTTATGACCCCATGTCTGCAACTTTAGTCGGATAGATTAATGACAGATATAAATGACACTACACTTTTATGAATACACAAAGATAGTTAGATGACCCTTCTTAATCTGTTATTCCATTTACCAACAAAATTTATTTGTACTGTTAATTCTAACGTATATTGAGATATTTTTTCGCACTTCATTTGTACAGTCTATTTTCGGGTTAAGAAGTCAAATCCACATGCAGAAAAAGGATTAAGTATGCAAAATTTCAAGTGCCTGTAGATAACAAAGAAATACAAAGAATAGGGTGACTATGCCCCTGGGGTTTGGGCATGTACCAAAAACAATGGGGATCATCCTTAAGGTTTAAGGAATAAGTATGTAAAGTTTCAAGAAGATCAGTTCAGAATTGCTGCCTGTAGCAACACACATACACACACAGACAGGTGTGACAGCGATCTAGTCCACATAATGAATGTGGACTTATAAAAATGCAGTACAGTGTTTTATATATTTACCATAAATCATACAGTCAATCAAATCATGATTTTTATTGAGAACTATAAAGTAAATTAAAAGATTTACCCGTTAACATGTAACACTACTAAATTAGCTCTATCTTTGTCAGTTGACACTGGACTCCACGGCCATGCCTCATCACTAGCTGTCATCCACCATACCAATATCTTAATAAAATTTTAAAAACACATTAGTATTACAAAGGAGAGAAATGAGGTTTAACATCCACTCGACACAAACTAGATCATTTTGGAACTAACATATTGTTCAATTATATTTCAATAATTTGCTTGCGCGTAGGGGTCTTTAGCAGTGGGAGGAAACCCACGAGGTTGGACAGGTGACCCTACTCTTTGTCACATACAACCGGGGAATCGAAACCACGCCAGTTGACACAATGACAGTCCTTATGATACAGTGCGCAAGTGCTAACCATTCAGCCATCCAACCCTCCTAAAGGAAATGAAATGAAATGCTTTTAAATGTCCTACTTTTCTGCACCCACTGGGCTAGGGATAAACGTTTAATGGTCGAGAGCAAGACATTAAGTAATATATGATGTCCAACATTTCATCTAGTATAAATAATCTAAGGTGGGCACGTTGCTCATACCATTATTTGAAATAATGGTATGTCAACATCAAAGATTAATGTTAATTCTGTATTTTAAAGCACTGTACGAGCATTCAATTAACCAGATTTCAGCTGCCCTATCAATTTGATGTGTTTGGTTAAACTAGATTGGTATCTGGCTCCAGACATTCAAATAGTTTAAGTCAGAGAGAGAGAGAGAGAGAAATGGGGTTTAACGTCCACTCGACACAAACTAGGTCATTTCGGGACTAACATATGGTTTAATTTTATTTCAATAACTCGCTTGCGCGTAGGGGTCTTTAGCAATGGGAGGAAACCGGAGGACCTCGGAGAAAACCCACGAGGTTGGACAGGCAACCCTACTCCTTGTCACGTACAACCAGGGATTCGAAACCACGCCAATCGACTCAATGACAGACTTTATGATACAGCGCTTGCACGCTAACCCTTCAGCCATCCAACCCCCCTAGTTTAAGTCAACTTTCTGTGTTAAATGGATGAGCATGATAATATAGTTGTTATTTCGATCTCTAACTTTTCAATCATTTTCATTTTAACCTCACCATTTATAAATATTTGCTCAAACCTATGCCCAATTACATCCGGAAAGATAGGTTGTCAGGCAATGAAACATACGCCTACAGAAACTAAATCGTCCGAGTGGTCGACAAGGGTTGTCATATATTTATCCTTTTGTACATAGGTAAATGAGGGCATTTACAAGATAATTTCATACAGATCAGATTATAATTTTCGTTGTTTGAGGGTTCACAAGGTTCTACAAGGGCCTTAACTCTGGAAGTAATTTACAAAGATAGGTTGCCAGGCAACAAAACATACGCCCATAGCAGCTAAATCGTCCAAGAGGTCGACAAGGGTTGTCGCATATTTATTCCTTTCTAGGTAATTGGGGGCATTTACAAGACAGTTCCATACAGATCAGATTATAAATTATGTTGTTTGAGGGTTTACAAGGTTCTACAAACTGAAACAAGGGTCTCAACTCTGGAAGTAATCTACAGAAATTGTTGAAATTTGACAGGCTTTTTCGTTTTACATATAAATTCCATACAGGTCACATGATCACTTTTGTCATTCAAACATTCACAATCGCCATAACTCTAGAAATTATTGACGGAAATTGCTGAAATTCAATAGACCTGTTACACAAATTTAAATGATGCATATAAATTTCATACATATCGGATGATAACTGTTATCATTAGAGTGTTCACAAGATTTAACAAAGTGAAACAAAGGCAATAACTCTAGAATTAATTATTTTAATTTGCTGAAATACTATAGGCTTTTTCGTTTCACTAATTTAAATCATGCATATAAATTTCACAAAGATCGGGATCAATGAAGTGAAACAAGGGCCATAACTCTAGACGTAATAAACGGAAAATACTGAAATTCAAAAGGCTTCTTCGTCTCACTAATTTAAATAATGCATATAATTTTCAGAAAGATCGAATGATAACTTTTGACGTTAGAGCGTTCACAAGGACCAATAAAGTGAAACAAGGGCCATAACTCTAGACGATAAACGGAAATTGCTGGAAATTCAATAGGATTCTTCGTTTCAATAATCTAAATAATGCATATAAATATCATAAAGATCGGATAACTTTTGACGTAAGAGCGTCGTTCACAAGGTTCAATAAAGTGAAACAAGGGCCATAACTCTAGATGTAGTAAATAGAAATTGCTGAAATTCAATAGGCTTCTTTGTTTCACTAATTTAAATAATGCATATAAATTTCAGAAAGATCGGATGATAACTTTTGGAGTTAGAGCGTTCACAAGGTTCAATAAAGTGAAACAAGGGCCATAACTCTAGACATAATTAATGGAAATTGCTGAAATTCAATAGGCCTCTTTGTTTTACTAATTTAAATGATGCATATAAATTTTATACAGATCGGTTGATAACTTTTGTCATTAGAGCGTTCACAAGGTGCAACAAAGTGAAACAAGGGCCATAACTCTAGACGTAATATACGGAAATTATTGAAATTAAATAGGCTTCTTCATCTCACTAATGTAAACAACATACATCAATTTCAAAAAAATTGGATGATAACTTTTGGCGTTAGAGCGTTCACAAGAAATTGTGGACGATGGACGGACGGATGGATGGACCGACAGACAGGCGGACGAGGGCGACGGCAATATAAGTCCACATTTCAATGTGGGTGTATAAAAATTGTTGAACTTTGACAGGCTTTTTCGTTTTACTAATTTAAATAATTCATATAAATTTCACACAGATCGGATTATAACTTTTGTCATTCGAATGTTCACAAGGTTCACAAAGTAAAACAAGAGCCATAAATCTAGACATAATTGACGGAAATTGCTGAAAATGAATAGACTTCTTCGTTTCACTAATCTAAATGATGCATATATATTTCATACAGATCAAATGATAACATTTGTCGGTCGGGCTGTGACAAGGTTAAACAAAGTGAAACAAGGGCCATAACTCAATAGACTTTGTCGTTTCACTAATCTAAATGATGCATAAATATTTCATACAGATCGGAAGATAACTTTTGGCGTTAGAGCGTTCACAAGGTTCAACAAAGTGAAACAAGGGCCACAACTCTAGATGTAATAAACGGAAATTGCTGAAATTCAATAGTCTTTTTCGTTGCATCAATTCAAATAATGTATATAAATTCCACAAAGACCAGATGATAACTTTTGGCGTTAGAAGTGAAACAAGGGCCATAACTCTAGACATAAAAAAAGGGAAATTGCTGAAATTCAATAGGATTCTTCTTTTTACTGATTTAAATTACGCATATAAATTTCATACAGATCGGCAGATAACTTTTGATGTTAGAGCGTTCACAGGGTGTAACAAAGTGAAACAAGGGACATAACTCTAGAAGAAATTAACAGAAATTACTGAAATTAAATAAGCTTCTTCATCTCACTAATGTAAGCAACATATATCAATTTTAAAACAATCAGATGATAACTTTTATGGTTAGAGGGTTCACAAGAAATTGCGGACAACAGAACCGCGGACGGGCAAGGGCAACGGCAATATACTTCCATGTAGGCGTATAAAAAGGTCATACATATACATACATAATGCTGCATATAAAAGGCTATACATGTATACATAACGCTGCATATAGAAATGAAAGATAATTAAATTTAAGAAATACGAACATGATCGTGATGAATATTAGCCGAGAACTTTCTGTCCAATCTTCTACCTTTAGGACCAGGAATATCAACCTGAATAATCTTCAAAAATAATCAGTCTATATTGTTTGAACAACTGTTTAATAAAACATTAACATCAATATATAAACATTCTTATAAGATTTCATAACTTGTACTTATTACATTGTGTTTTTAACTTACGACAATTTTCTTAAAGTTGCAATTTCATATTTTTACGTTATATTTTTAAAATTTATTAAAATAAAGCCTTAAAATAGATGGTATCTATAAACAGTCCTACCTTGAAAATTTTCAAATTATTCATTTTACATTATCAATTTTCGAACTATTATAGCAAGAATTGCTAGCTCTTTATCTAAATCTTACATAATGTATCTTTAAATGTTTTAACTACATAAAAACAACTTCATGTGGTTGTTTTGAAAGTTAAATATTTTAAATACATAAAACCAACTTCATGTGGTTGTTTTAAAAATTTTTTTAAACAACCACATGAAGTTGTTTTTATGTATTTTCTATTTAATCTTCTTGTTTTATTCTTTAAATTTTTGTTTTTACACTTCACCTTTTATATTAAATATTATGCATCACCTTTGTTTAATTTTTAATATAATAACTGTGTACAGCGCTTCTGAAACACACGTGTAGAAGGCTTTATAAAAATAAAGTTATTATTATTTTATATTGGTTATGATTTGTATATTGATTACCTTGGGTTCCCATGCTGCTAACTTATCAAGTCTCTTAGCAGCTTCAACAAGTGATGGTCTTTTAGTAAAATATACATAATCTAACTTATTGGAATCAGGAAAGGAAGCTATCAGAAACTGATCTGTAAAATGAGCTGGAAAAAATACCAATAAATTTCAAGAAATAATCAAATTAAATTGAAATTTATTTGGGCTTTCTATTTTACAATAATTAGAAAGGTGGGTATGCCTCGTTTTAATGTTCCTATTGTTGGAAGAAAAGCTTCAAAAATCAGATAAACATTTTTAAACACTTCAAACTGAGTCAATTCCAAACAGTTAGTCAATTCTGTTTCCCACCAATATTGTCATTGTATATATTCATTATCTGTAAATTCAGAATATGAAAAAAGATAGGTTGCCAGGCAATGAAACATACGCCCACAGCAGCTAAATCGTCCGGGCAGTCAACAAGTGTTGTCGCATATTTTTACTTTTTTCGGAAATGAAACATTTATAATACACTAAAATCTGATTAAGAGTAACAACTCATGAAGTAATTATCAGAAAGCCATTAGAATTTGTTTGGTTTTTATAAAGTTCTGGCCCATGCTAACGCTTACTATACAAAACTTTTAATATCATGGATTAAGCTGTTCAAGTCATAAAAATTTACTTGTTCGTATCAAGATCTTAAGCTCTGTGTATCAATCTGAAGTCAATCGGATGATAACTTTCGCCCCTAGAGCGTCACAAGATTTTTCAAGGGCCATAACTTTGGCAGTAATTATCGGAAATCTTTGAAAATCAATAGGATTTTTTGACTCGTGACCTCAAACACTGTGTATAAATTTAAAGTCAATCAGATATTAACTTTTGCCGCTAGAGCATGGGGGGTTGGATGGCTGAATGGTTAGCGTGCGCACGCTGTATCATAAAGTCTGTCATTGAGTCGACTGGCGTGGTTTCGAATCCCAGGTTGTACGTGACAAGGAGTAGGGTCACCTGTCCAACCTCGTGGGTTTTCTCCGGGTCCTTCGGTTTCCTCCCACTGCTAAAGACCCCTACGCGCAAGCGAATTATTGAAATAAAATTAAACCATATGTTGGTCCCGAAATGACCTAGTTTGTGTCGAGTGGACGTTAAACCCCATTTCTCTCTCTCTCTCCGCTAGAGCATCCACAAGATTTTTTGAAGTGATCAAGGGCCATAACTCTCGCAGTAATTATCGAAAATCACTGAAAATGAATAGATTTCTTCGTCTCATGACCTTAAACAAGTGTATAAACTTAAAGTCAATCGGATATTAACTTTAGCTTCTAGAGTGTCCACAAGATTTTCCAAAGTGATCAAGGGCCATAACTCTGGGAGTAATTATCATAAATTGCAGAAAATCAAGAGGGTTCTTGATCTCATGACCTTAAGCACTGTATATAAATTTAAAGTCAATCGGATATTAACTTTGGCCTCTAGTGCGTCCACAAGACTTTTTGAAGTGATCAAGGGCCATAACTCTGGCAGTAATTATCGGAAATCGCTGAAAATGAATAGACTTCTTCGTCTCATGACCTTAAACACTGTGTATAAATTTAAAGTCAATCGGATATTAACTTTAGCCTCTAGAGCGTCCACAAGATTTTTCAAAGTGATCAATTGCCATAACTCTGGTAGTAATTATCTGAAATCGCTGAAAATCAACAGGCTTCTTCGTCTCATGACCTTAAACACTGTGTATAAATTTAAAATCAATCGGATATTAACTTTGGCCTTTAGAGCGTCCACAAGACTTTTTGAAGTGATCAAGGGCCATAACTCTGGCAGTAATTATCTGAAATCGCTGAAAATCAATAGGCTTCTTCATCTCATGACCTTAAACAATGTGTATAAATTTAAAGTCAATGTGTTTAAAGTCAATCGGATATTAACTTTAGCCTCTAGAGCATCCACAAGCTTTATTGAAGTAATCAAGGGCTATAACTTTGGCAGTAATTATCGGAAATCGATGAAAATCATTAGGCTTCTTTGCCTCATGACCTTAAACACTGTGTATAAATTTAAAGTCAATCGGATATTAACTTTAGCCTCTAGAGCATCCACAAGATTTTTTGAAGTGATCAAGGGCCATAACTCTGGCAGTAATTATCGGAAATCGCTGAAAATCAATAGGCTTCTTCGTCTCATGGCCTTAAACACTGTGTATAAATTTAAAGTCAATCGGATATTAACTTTAGCCTCTAGAGCGTCCACAAGATTTTTTGAAGTGGTCAAGGGCCATAACTCTGGCAGTAATTATCGGAAATCGCTGAAAATCAATAGGCTTCTTCATCTCATGACCTTAAACACTGTATATAAATTTAAAGTCAATCGGATATTAACTTTAGCCTGTAGAGCGTCCACAAGCAATTGTGGACGCCGGACCACCGGACGGGGGCGACGACAATATACGACCACATTTCAATGTGGGCGTATAAAAACCAACATACCAGAAGAGATAAGATCGGAATAAAATTTTCCCACCACAGATTTATCTAAGAGTATTTTTTCTACATCTCCAGAGTGTGCTGATACAACAAATGATATTATACAACCATTACTCAATACAACCTAAATAATTGATAATATAATATAAGTATAATAGAGAACTGCACCACACATAAACAAACCTCCACATAATAGTTGGACATGGCAATGATAAACTAAGACAATACTGGTACTATAAAATCAAGTGAATGGTTCTGTGAGATGGGCGTAGGCATAAACTTCCTTGTACAGTCTCGAACCGGTAATTATACAGGCTTCACTCAAAATAAACTCACAAAGGAGAGAATTCACAAAAAACGGAGCATTTCAAGATCATTATATATATCATGATTGTCTGTGTATTTACAATATACCTCGATGTTAATACATTGAAGAAAATGTTTTATGACAATTCAAGTTATAGAAATCTAGCAAAATCTGATCCATCATCTGTCGAACTTTTCTTGAGAACACTCTACAAAAATCCTTATTTAAAAAATTTGCAGTGATTGTTTTAGGGGTCATTCAAATTATCCCATTCAGTTTTGTATGTACAGGAGCTCCCATCAACTAGAATATTTTATATTGTTGAGATAAGACAGAAGCATTTAAATGTCAACCTCAAGTTTTGCTGACAACTATTTAGCCATATGATACACGCTATTGCTGAATGATTTGATAGGATTTCACAATCATAGCTCGTAGGATATCATACTTTAGCAAAGAATATCATTTTCCAATCATTCATTATTAATTTAGGCTATGGACTCAGGATAGAAACAGTTACATTTCTACCTGAAGAATTTGATTACTTTTCCATCTAACATCAACACAATGAAACTGACTCAGTAGATCCTGAAAAAGTAAAATATTTTAAATCTAACCAATTTCACAGTTATGCATTTAAAATAAACTAAATTCATTCTGAGTGTATAATTTTATAGGAGAATTTCATATTAAAGATTTGTAGTAAAACCTCAACAGAACAATTTTTGAGTTGTCTTTCAAGAAATCAAAATGAAAAATTCAGGCACAAATAACAACTGTTTTGTTAATTGAATCTGTAAATAAATTGTACTGAAACTGAATATCAAAACCATAAAATCATACATTAAATAAATTAAGCACAACCTTGAAGGTTATTTAAATATATCAATTCTTACTTCAACTTCTTTTAAGTTATCACGCAATTTTTCTGGTCTTTTATTTCTTGGAGACCATACCATGTCACGGGCTACAAAATTATAAGAACATATTTCTAAATCTCAAATTGTATCAAAGTCAACTAGCTGTATGTCTAAAAGATACAAAATTGGAATCAAACATTTTTCATAAAATTTGCAAATAATATCATTTACCTTCAATATATTGTTGTTTTTCTTCATAATATGGTTGTTCTTTAGAAGTAACTATAAAAACAAATCAAGAAATGAAGTTTTTATGTTTTAACTCATCTCTAGAATTTATAGAACTATATATTTATTTTCATATGGGGTACTAGTTATTATTGAAATGCTTTAATTTGTTTCCTCACAGTACTTAAGACGAATCAATTTTCTGCTCCAACTGGACTATTGAAGACGACCTTGTGCTATGAGGGAAATTTTGCCCGAACAGAACTGAATTTCAACTGTCAAGGGTTCTTTTACGTGCTCACCAGGGTGACCAAGGGACTGGTTTTTTGTGCCATCTATATGACTAAATGCTGTTGCTTGCCAGGCCCCCCGTTCTGCATCAATGACATGTGGAAACCATGTCGGAAAATCCTGAGGAACTTCTCAGCCATCACCAGGACCAAAACTGTGAATTCCAGGTTAGTGAGTCAGCACCTTACACACTGAGCCACTGTGGCTCCCATGCTTTAATATGTAGTCAATTGATTTATTATCATCTTCATACGAAATTTTAACCCTTTAGTCACAAGCCAAAAAAAAGGCAAATAATGTCATATTACGATAATTTTTTCTTTGATATGATGTCATAAGATCAGGATATATTGTTAACACACATATCGTCGGTGAGCTATCAAAATTGCGTATAGTGGTGTATACGAAGACATACAAATTCTACAGGATGAACAAAAAACTGAATAACTTTGTGAGATATTGTCGATCATCTTGAAATTTGGAACGGGGAAACGTTATTTTACATGTTTAACACTTACTGATAATAAGCACAACAGAAAATCGTGATATAATTTTACGTAAGCGCATGTATGAAAATTTGACATTGTAGTAATAGGAAAATGTGGTCTTTTTAGGAGATATATGAAATTTTGAAGCTAATGTTAAAATAAAGATATCAAACAAAAATGTTCATTATTAATTTATCTAGACTAAAACAAACTTCGTAATGTAGGCCTATGATTAGCTAAACCTTACAAAACATGAAAAAACAACAACATTATTTTAGTAAATTCATTCATAAAAGTTAATGAAACGAGTACTTCAATTAATCAACATAATTAACACATTCATCTTATTCCGGCTCATGAAGTAAATTGTCATAAAAAGGATGGTAATCAGAGGGTAATACCTTTTTAAGTTCTTGTAAATGGGTGTACTTTTTTGACTTGATCTTAAGTGGGGCGTAGTATAAGCAATGGAGCTCTAGAGGGTCGTCCTTTGACAGAGGACACTTTTATTACATCTAGGGAGATCATTAAACTCATCAGTAAAGTTTGTTTTGTACAGAAGATTACCATCCTTATACTGCAAAACATGAATATCCGTAACTACAGGATCACCACTACGTGCACCGGGACGAATTGTGGAATAATAACCTAACAGTCGTGTGTAAGATATCTCACTTTATAAAGTGGGGTTACTCTTGCTGTACGTATTAAGTCCACGTAATTCTGTGGAATAATAATAATAATAATAATGTATATTTGTAAAGCGCCCATCCATCCACAAATGCATGCTCTAGGCGCGTACTATGTACTCAATGGTCACTATTTACACACAAATATAAATAGGTTTACCGCATAATTTTCTCTCAATCGTGCTGTGAACCGAATCACATTCCATCTGACCCTTTTCAAGAAATTTTTGCAGTGGCAGCTTTTAGTAACATATTTGACAAAATTACATTTCTATTTTGGTATGTACAATCATCGCTATACAAAATAAGTTCTTTGACATCATGGTCGATAGATAATCAATTAACCAAGAGGCAAAAGTGTTTGCATTAAGATCCCCAATACCTTCATTCCAAAAGTAATTGACCACATCTTTGCTCGCAAGATCAAAAATTGTGTAATTATGACATCCCAATTTCGTCTTGTAGTACATGGAACTAGCAGTAAGCAAAGGACATAACAAGGACTGGAGATCTAATGTCACAACCTTAACGTGATCTTCAGATGTGTAAGTTATAGTCTGCTTCAGAGATAAATGTCACATCTGTCTTTCTTAAGCCGATAAATGCCCAAATTAAGATCATTGAATACGGATATGATAGCCTTCCTTGCGAACTAAAAGCTTGTCATTGTGTTTACAAAACTTTCACATACATTTTATATATTTCAGACGCACTAGTAATGACTGGCTCCAGATAATTTTTCTTCAAAGACAACCTACAGTAATGTGAAGGTAATTTGGGAAGTTTGTTAAAGAAGTGTCGTGCATAGTTGACCTTCTCTGTATTGGATACCGAAACGCATCTTTTAGTTGCTGCAGCTGTCTTTGGGATACCCGCACGATATTTGCCTTTCAACCATTCTTAAACAAGTCTTATCATTAATACCAAGTAGGGCTGCAACAATACGTCAGGCCACGATACGATGCGCATCACGATTCATAGTCTACAATACGATTAATATCGCGATATAGGAAAAACATGTAAATTTAAAAGATAGGTTGCCAGGCAATGCAACATACGCCCACAGCAGCTAAATTGTCCGAACAGTCAACAAGAGCTGTCCGATATTTTTATTTTTTTCTTGGTAATGAAACATTTATAATACACTAAAATCTGATTAAGAGTAACAACTCATGAAGTAATTATCAGAAAACCATTAGAATTTGTTTGGTTGTTATAAAGTTCTGGCCCATGCTAACGTTTAGTATACGAAACATTTAATATCATGGATTTTAATATCGGATGATAACTTTGGCCTCTAGAGCATCACAAGATTTTTCAAAGTGATCAAGGGCCATAACTTTGGCAGTAGTTATCGGAAATCATTGAAAATCGATAGGCTTCTTTGTCTCACGACCTCAAACACTGCATATCAATTTAAAGTCAATCGGATATTTACTTTAGCCTCTAGAGCGTGCACAAGATCTTTTGAAGTGATCAAGGGCCATAACTCTGGCAGTAATAATCAGAAATCGCTGAAAATCAATAGGATTCTTCGTCTCATGACCTTAAACACTGTGTATGAATTTAAAGTCAATCAGATATTAACTTTAACCTCTAAAGCGTCCACACGATTTTTCAAAGTCATCAAGGGCCATAAGTAATTATCATAAATCGCAGAAAATTAATAGGCTTCATGACCGTAAAGACTGTGTATAAATCTAAAGTCAATTGGATAATAACTTTAGCCTCTAGAGCGTCCACACGGACCGACGGATGGGGGCGTCGACAACATATGACCACATATCAATGTGAGTGTATAACCAGCGGCTGCCAGGCAGGATATGCCCACGTTTTGCAAGAGATGGATAGAGAACAAGCTAAACAAAAAACCCAGGATTTTTTGTACAATCCGGGGCAACAATATCAAAAGGGACTGAGATCTTTGGGATATAAAGATATGTTTCAAGTTTCATCAAAATCAGATAAAAATTGTGACCTTCGTAGCATACTTTTACACAATTTGCGACCATTTTGTCCAGCAGTTTCATTTCCATTTTCCCGAAATTCGAATTCAACCTTCAATATGGTGGAATGGTGATATATTTAAACGGTTTTTAAAATCGGAAAAAAAAAAAAAAAAAAAAGTGACCTCTAGAGAATCTGTATGCTAAAAATGCGATTTTTCGAACAATTAGGAGCCATAATCCAGGAAGTTACGGTGTAACGGTGATATATTCGAACCCTTTTTTTAAATCAAATAATAATTGTGACCTCTAGAGGGACCACAAGCTAAAAACGCGATTTTTTGTACATTCAAGGGCCATAATTCAGGAAGATACTATCCGATACAAGCAAATATCGAATGGAACCAAGATCTTTTGGGTTATAAACATGTATTTCAACTTTCATCAAAATCAGATCAAAATTGTGACCTCAACCTTGATTTACCAGATGTTTACACTATTTGTGTACAGGGGGCGGCCATTTTGTCCAGCAGTTTTGGCCCGATTTTCACGAAATTCAACGTCAACAAACATTATGGTGTAACGGTGATATATTCGAACATTTTTTTAATCGAATAATAATTGTGACCTCTAGAGGGACCACAAGCTAAAAACATGATTTTTCGTACAACAAGTGGCCATAATTCAGGAAGTTACAATTCGATATGCGCAAATATTGAAAGGAACCAGGATCTTTGGGTTATAAACTTGCATTTCAACTTTCATCAAAATCGGATCATAATTGTGACCTCTAGAGGGTCCACAACTTTGATATACCAGATGTTTACACTATTTGTGTACGAGGGACAGCCATTTTGTCTGGCAATTTCGGTCCGATTTTCATGAAACTCAACCTCAGACAAAATTACGGTGTAAAGGTGATATATTCGAACGTCTTTTTTTAAATCGGATAATAATTGTGACCTCTAGAGGGACCAAAAGCTAAAAACGCGATTTTGCATACAATCAGGGGCCATAATTCAGGAAGTTACGATTTGATATGCACGAAAATAGAAAGGAGCCAAGATATTTGGGTTATAAACATGCATTTCAAATTTCATCAAAATCAGATGAAAATTGTAACCTCCAGAGGATCCACAACCCTGATACACAATATTTTGACACTATTTGCGAACGAGGGGCGGCCATTTTGACGGGTTTCTTAATCGACGAGTAATAATTAACTCTTTGTAATCGACCTAAAGTAGATTGATTTATGATACCATAGTGGCCGGTTCATTGTTTTACCAATCGGCCTGATAATTAATTCTTTATAAATCGTCCGAAAGTAGATTAATTTGTGATACCTTAGTGGTCGGTTCATTGTTTTACCAATCGGTTAGATTAAAGATCAATCGGCTAAAGCCGACGAAAAACAGCTGATTAAGAAATGAAATGAAATGAAATGGGGTTTAACGTCCTACTGTTCTGCTCCTAATCTGGGCTAATGAAGACAGGCATACGCCATACAGTGTGCTATGAGGGAAATTTTGCCCGGGCAGCGGCGCTACGGCCTACTCTTATATTGAATTCCAACTGCCAAGGGATCTTTTATGTGCACGCCAATGTGTAAAAGGGATCTCGGTTTTTCATCCCATACGAACGACTAGACAGCTGTCCTTGTCAGGCCCTCCTTCCTGCATCACTGACAAGGGGAAACCACGCCGGAAAATCTGAATGAACTTTCTCGGCCAATGCAGGGATCGAACACTCGACCTCCAGGCTAACGAGCCAGCATATTACCGATTTAGCCACGTGATCCTCCAGCCGATTAAGATCCCTGCTGTACACCAAGTTCAAACATAGAAGTCTTCTTTCTTGGTGTCCATTCTGGATCTCTATCATCATCATCATTGAACTCACTCTCAGAGTCAGTGAAATTGCCCAACTCGAAGCATCGCAAATTGACTTTAGATTTTAAAGGGGTAGTTTGTAGTATCAGCTGCCCTGGTATGAATGGATTGTCACAAGGAATGGGTAGACTAATATCTAGAATAGATGCAGGTAAATTCGATGCTCCTTGATCAGAGCGTGGTGTATGAAAATAGGCCTCCGTATCAGTTGATCTAAGGAGGCTTGGTATACTGTTACAGCTTTGATCTGTAACTGACGTTGATGTTTGTCCTGCATGAATACAACAATTTGATGCAGATAGGTAAGACGTTGCTTCAGGTAAATATGAGTTTAATGCAGGTAAATGTGACTTTGATTCAGGTAAATAAGTGGATGATGTACGCTCAGTTAAGTAGGATGTGGAAGAAGGTAAGCAGGTATGTAGGACGACGTTATTACTGGTTAAGTTTTTCCAGGATGTTGCTACGGGTGGGTTGCACATTGTTAGGCGTAAGCTGGTCGTTGATACAGGTGGGTAGGTATTTGGTGAATTTATGAACGAAATTGATTTTGATGCAGGTAAGTAGGGCCATGACGTTGATGCGTGTGAGTAGGACGTCATTACCGATAAGCCGGTTGTTGATGCAGGTGAGAAGAACTCTGATGCAGGTAAGTAGGTATTTGAGGGGGGTATGTAAAGTGTTGATTTTGATGCAGGTAACCGTAAATGGAACCATGTCGTTGATGTGGGGCAATAGTATATAGTTGCCGGTAAGTTAGTCGTCGATACAGGTGAGTAGGACACTGTTGCAGGTGAGTAGGACATGGTTACAGGTAAGTAGATAGCTGATGACGTTAACTTGGAAGTAGATGCAGGCCAAGTACGGAGTGGGGTGTGGGGTGTAGGTATAGACAGTATTGTTCGAGATGCAGATGGTAATGCCAACCATTGATGGTAATAGGCCTATGTCAGTTTTCGCAACTGAAATTCCAGTTGAAAATATTAGAGATCTTCTCCAATTCCACGTAAGAACAGGCTCCTTAGGAATTTTCTGAAACGCCGAAGTTGATTCCACTTCACCTGGATTTGAAGACCTATTACTTTTAGAGTTTAGAGCCATTTTTAGCAACAATTTTCTTCTTGAAAAATCACCCATTTTGTTGAATTTCTGAGATGCCAACCATTGATGGTAATAGGCCTATGTCAGTTTTCGCAACTGAAATTCCAGATTAAAATATTAGAGATCTTCTCCTATTCCATGTAAGAACAGGCTCCTTAGGAATTTTCTGAAACGCCGAAGTTGATTCCACTTCACCTGGATTTCAAGACCTATTACTTTTAGAGTTTAGAGCCATTTTTAGCAACAATTTTCCTCTTGAAAAATCACCCATTTTGTTGAATTTCTGAAACATAATTTGAGAATATCTTCAAAAATCTTACGATAAACAGTTCAAGGCATTATCAAATATCACAAATACAAATTACAAATTATCAAATATTCATATGGCTCTTTAACTTGATTATCAATAGGCTTAGACGTCAGAGATATTCCTATGTTATATCACTAATTTCAAATTATTACAGTTATTAGCACTTCGTATTCATTATATTTTAAACAAAGCTAATACAATGTTGCAGTGAATATGTAGAAAATACATTTACCAACTTTATTAATAAATAACACCCACGATGCATACATAGGAAGCCTATCTCTAAATATCATCATAATTTACAGGCCGATTCATAGCTTCTTATAGCGAGTTTCATGTCTGATAAGTATCATAAACGTTAATTAAGTTATAAAAATAACAAATTACTCACCTACAAGTCCAATTGTTTAGCTAAGCAAAACCACACGAGGTGACGATCAAATTCATCAGAGGTACGGAATTTTGCGATACCAAATAATCACCAATCAAAATATAATTTTTTTTCACGTGTTCCAAAAGAGTATTTCTTATTGGTTTAGAGTTACGAGACCCAGATAGAAATTCGTGCCAGACGCCGGGGATTTAGAAAATGGGAAAAAGATGGGTTGCCAGCTATATCATCCGGGCAGTCAACAAGTGTTGTCGCATATTTTTACTTTTTTCGGTAATGAAGCATTTATAATACACTAAAATCTGATTAAGAGTAACAACTCATGAAGTAATTATCAGAAAACCATTAGGATTTAGCTGTTCAAGTCATAAAAATTCATTAAAAATCCATATACTTGTTCGTCTCAAGATCTTAAACTCTGTATCAATCTGAAGTCAATCTGAAGTCAATCTGAAGTCAATCGGATGATAACTTTAGCCTCTAGAGCGTCACAAGATTTTTCAAAGTGATCAAGGGCCATTACTTTGGCAGTAATTGGAAATCGTTGAAAATCAATAGGATTCTTCGTCTCATGACCTCAAACATTGTGTATAAATTTAAAGTCAATCGGATATCAACTTTGGCCTCTAGAGCATCCACAAGATTTTTTGAGGTGATCAAGGGCCATAACTCTGGTAGTAATTATCGAAAATCGCTGAAAATGAATAGACCTCTTCGTCTGATGACCTTAAACACTGTGTATAAATTTAAAGTCAATTGGATATTAACTTTAGCCTCTAGAGCGTCCACAAGATATTTCAAAATGATCAAGGGCCATAATTCTGGCAGTCATTATCTGAAATCGCTGAAAATCAATAGGCTTCTTCGTCTCATGACCTTAAACACTATGTAAAAATTTAAAATCAATCAGATATTAACTTTGGCCTCTAGAGCATCGACAAGATTTTTTGAAGTGATCAAGGGCCATAATTCTGGCAGTAATTATCGGAAATCGCTGAAAATCAATAGGCTTCTTCGGCTGATTACCTTAAACACTGTGTATAAATTCAAAGTCAATCGGATATTAACTTTAGGCTCTAGAGCGTCCATAAGATTTTTTGAAGTGATCAAGGGCCATAACTCTGGCAGTAATTATCGGAAATCGCTGAAAATCAATAGCCTTCTTTGTCTCATAACCTTAAACACTGTGTATAAATTTAAAGTCAAGCGGATATTAACTTTAGCTTCTACAGCATCCAGAAGATTTTTTTAAGTGATCAAGGGCCATAACTCTGGCAGTAATTATTGGAAATCGCTGAAAATCAATAGGCGTCTTCGTCTCATGGCTTTAAACACTGTATATAAATTTTAAGTCAATCTGATATTAACTTTAGCCGGCCGGACGGACAGGTGCGATGACAATATACGACCACATTTCAATGTGGGTGTATAAAAAGGATATACAAAATTTTGACGATATACGCAATTTTGATAGCTCACCGACGATATACACCTTCCATGCTGTATTACATATCAAACATCACATGTTATCTTTATCATGTAGTAGATAACCAAAAGAACTCTCATGTGATATAAATATTGTAGGTATTTTATAATTGAATGATAGATAAGTCACAAAAACAATAGCGAAATGAAATGAAATGGGGTTTAACGTCCTACTGTTCTGCTCCGAACTGGGCTAATGAAGACGGGCATACGGCATACAGTGTGCTATGAGGGAAATTTGGCCCGCACAGCGGCAGTACCGCCTACTCTTATATCGAATTCCAACTGTCAAGGGATCTTTTACGTGCACGCGCATGTGTATATGGGACCTCGGTTTTTCGTCCCATCCGAACGACTAGACAGCTGTTCATGTTATATTGTTTACATAATGGCCTTTGTTCACAGTTGAAAGTCACCCTGTCAAACATAATGACATTTTTTAACGTGATTAGTTTGTGTTATTATTATTGAATGTGTTATAGTTAAAACTATTTACTGTGAAAATAAAACAGTAAATTTCACCTTTATCATGGTAGCTGTGACAACCTATTACACTATCTGAAATAAACAAAAACATGTAACTATATCGTATATACAGCAGTTTCAAATGGTTCTTAACATTCTGGGAGAGGGAAGAAAAGGAATAAAGTTATTTTAACCTAAAGTTGCTAAAAGTCCAACTATTTTAATAAAAGTCTGAAAAAAATTCTCACTGAATAAGGTCCAATATGAAACAAAAAGTACTTAAAATGATATCTGCCAGATTAAGTACTTCTCAAGTTTTCACTGTTTTACCATAGTGCTTTGGAGATCTTCGGTGGTCATTAAAAATAACATATTCTGTTTCAAGTGATCTGATTACTTAGTTACATTAAAAATGTCCACATTAGATATTACGCAAATTATGAGACAAATCAGCCTATCCGACATTAAAAATTTCATTATGAGTCAAACACATGAAAGTAGTTTTAAAGGAGTTCAACAGATGTTCCTAAAAAATACTTTACCCCAAGTAGGTCAGTGCTTCAAATGTTTTATGTATATGCAAATCAAATGTTATTTTAAATACATAATGCGAAATGAATTACATTTATTGTCTTGCTGAAAGGAATAATTATTCTAATTGGATTCTGCAATTTACATAATATATAAGTTTCAAGTACATATCTCTTTTACCTGGAATGGCATACAGGTTTCTAAGTGACCATATATACAGCTCACACAGACACGATACCATTTCATTATATCTGAGAATAAACATCAAAATATCTATAAGACGAGTGATTTAAATAACAAACTTCAATAAGTGTCTTTACTTAATCTCTTGATAACGGTCATAATGGGTCTTTAGCAGTAGGAGAAGAAAAGAGAATCCAGAGCAAACCTATGAGATTGGACAGGCAAAACCTACTTTTTGTCATGTACAAGCTGGGGAATCAAAACCACGCTACTTGACTCAATGACAGAACTTATGATCTAAAGTGCACGCCTTAGACCACCCAGCCCCTAGGTTTACAGTGGAACATATCTCAACATTTGCATTATCATGGATGTAAATTTTTTTACCAAAAAACGATTATCATCGAATAAAACATATCAATATACAAAATCCAGTGAAATCAACAATTTTCTTTTACCCAAGTCAAAGAGGTTTGACCATTTTGCTTGAAATAGATTTAGAATTTACAGTTTAAAGTTTCTAGTAGAAACAAAATAAATTGTTTAGTATAAATTGAATTGGAGAAGATCATCTATAGCGCCACATTTCAAACAGATTTATAAAGGTTCAGCTTTAATCTAATCTGAAAGTTGATATATATTTTCAGTAGATGTTTACCAGGTGCATCACGATGCATTCTTTTGAGAAGAAAATGTGCGGGTTGAATACTGTGGAATTACAAGATCTACTACATTTAAAACTGCCAAGTTTAATTGTTACGTCATAAATTCTATTGCTGATATATTCACATAATTGGGCCTATAGGCCTATTCATAATACAATCTGATTAAAACACAGCCTATTTCGTTTCATTTTTTATAGTTCAAATTTTCATTTTACTTGTCTTTACTACTAGGATCTGGAAGAGTTGATATATAACCCACATTCTCTTTGATTTGATGTGAGGGACTAACCAATGAAACGGTCTGTTGTAGCAAGTTCTTGGCGTGTGATGCAGGTAATTGTGTGTATCCTACTACTAGAAACATCAACGCTGATTGGTTAATCAAATGTTTGACGTCATACTCATCATAGATCAAAAGTCACACGTATGACCCCTGATGCGACCTCCCACTACAACTGGTCAGATCTTCATGTAGTAGAGGCCATCGAAAGTATAAAAAAAAACGAGATGAAATATAGATCTGTATTGTTCATTATTGAGTTGGTTTTATTTAAGTAGCTAAGTCTTTAATTCAATATCATCCAAAGTCTTTGACATTGAAAACATGAATTATTTGTTAATTTAAATCAACATTGGGGGCTTCTGATATCCAATATTTAAGCCAAAATAAACATTTTACCATTGGTACATGTCAAACATTGACATATTCTTATCTGGAAAGCATGCGCAATAAATACTATTGATATAGACTGGAATAACCAGATGTTAAAGATTGCCATTCGATTGCCGAACATAACTGATTTGAAATTAGAGTAAAACGGACACGACTGAATGTAAATCAGGTAATATACATTCATATTACATTACTATATGTGTTGTGACCCATTTGTGTCAATTTCTAGGCCCCAAATATTTAGCTCCTTTAAAGATACATTATGTAAGATTTAGATAAAGACCTGACCATTCTTGCCATAATAGCTCAAAAATAGATAATGTAAAATGAAAATATTGAAAATTTCATTCAAATTACTTCGTTCTGAGCCAAGTTATCACTGTTTGTAGGTTTGACAAGATGTGTAGGGCCTACATTGTGGTAACCAGGCCACTGGTATAATCGAGACTTAGCCTCGCTTTCCAAATTTTAAATTAAATTTTTAAATTGCGAACTATTCTAATCTAGTTAAAAGTAGAGTATCCGATGCCATCGAGAGTTGATTATGGTCTGGATAAGTTAATTAAAGATACATTATGGGAGATTGGATAAAGAGTTGGCAGTTCTCATTATAATAGTTTAAAACTAGGTAATGTAAAGGCAATTTGCTGAAAATTTCGTTCAAATTGATCCACTATGAACCGAGAACAAAGCGATTGGATTTCCACCAAGCCTTGATCATCATTACTAAAGTCAGTACGATAAACAGCATAGTCTTGATTATCCATTTAATCGTTAAATTGTGAAGGAAAGTTATGCAATAAATTGACTCCACAATCCACTAAAGATCGCAGGCTACCGATGCAATCTAGAGTTTATTATGATTATGGTCTGGATAGGTTAATTAATGTCTAATTAATAATTTAGATAACATTTCAGGCCTAAAAAAGACCTGCAATAGACAGATTTAGCTCTTGCATAATGTATGTTTAATGTCTAATTAATAATAATTTATAAGCTTATAACATTTGAGGCTCTACCGCTAGGCTACATACATATATTATATATATGACATTGATTGAAATTTGTTAGTAATAACATGGCCATATACAATCTGCCAATTAAATACTTATGCTATAAAAAATAGACCTATTTTCACAAGCCCAATAGGCCTAGTAGTAGCCTACTAGCCTAATGAATGATTCGATTTGGGTTGGTGGGGGGGGGGGCATGCAACTATACTATGAACTAAACAACTTAATTTTGCTAAAATTGAGAAACGTAAAATCGAAAGAGTTAAAGTATTACCACTGGTAGGGCCTACTGCCGTACTGGACAAGAATCTCTATGATTAATTTGGACAATCAAATTGATAATACTGAATAGCCTAGATTAAATTTATTAGAGAGATTTTGTTGTTTCTCGTTGTTTACATTTCGTAATGTAAGAACCGGAAGCTAGTTGGTTGGGCTGAAGCATTCGGCAAACCTCGACAGATTCTACGCATCTAATATGTACAGTAGGGTACCGGAATCTGTCGAGGTTTGCCGAGTGTGGGTTGAAGACGGCGGACGTTTTATGACCTTTACCCTTATCGTCGAAAGCCGCGGTTAACAAAACACAATGTTTAGCCGTTGAAGTGAGCGTACGGAATGAATAACAAAAGCCCGCGCTACTATTTAAACCATTGAAGACACACAATAATTGGAATGAAATGAAACAATCTTTATCCCCCATTTTTGTGGCACCATAGATAATTTCTGAAAGTCACTGGATACACCGCAAAACAGGTGGAATTAATTACCGGTTAAACCGCAAAACACCGGATATAAACTGATCTCCCTTTTCTATCGATTTTCATTTACCAAACATAAATGTTTCTTTTTTTCCTGAGCCAACCAATACATTTCATGGCACCATAGAATATTCCTGAAAGTCCTGGAAATAGCTAGTTTGAAATCCGTCCCGAAAGAGCACTACCCCCCCCCCCCCCTCCACCCGCACGCTTTTTGTCAATTGTGATTTACCAAACGCCCTCTGCTATTTCATTGAGCCACATAATAATTGACATTGAATGAACTAATGTTTATACCTCTTTCAGGTGGCACCCTAGATTATTCCTTAAACACCTCGACTTAGTTTAAAATCCGTCCCCAAAACGCACTACCCCCACCCCGTGTTTATTTTTTTAATTCTGTTTTCCCAAACGTCCGCTCCTATTTTATTTTCTTGAGCCACTCAATACTTGGCATAGAATGAAAGAGTGGCACCATAGTTTATTCCTGAAAGCCCTCGATTTAGTCTGAAATCCGTCCCCGAAAAGCACACCCCACCCCGTCCTTTTATCAATTCTGTTTTACCAAACGTGCGCTTCTATTTATTTCGTTTAGCCAACCTATACATTAGATGGGAAGAAAGGGTATTTACCTCTCTTTCATATGGCATCCTGAAATCCGTCCCCGACCCCCCCAAACAAACACACATACTGTACATACATACACTTCTGTCTTTATTTTATTTATCAATTCTGTCTCACAAAACGTCCTTTGCTATCTTATTTTTCCTGAGCCACCCGAAAATAGGCTTTAAAAGCAAGAGAGTTTATCACTCTTAAAAGTGCCACCATAGAATATTCCTGAAAAGCCTCGACTTTTGTCTGAAATCCTTCCTAGTCCGGTGGCTGAAGGGGGGGGGGGGGGGTCGCCACCCGAGCTGTGAATTTATGAGACCAAGTTTTTCTAGACCAGTTTTTTGCGTAGATTCCGAATCTGGGTGGTGATCAGGCGTTTGAGGGGGCGTTTTCGAGATATAGGGGGTCTAATGTCTACAATGGGGGGGGGGGGGATGTCATTATGTTGACGTAATATATTAATAAAACATAAATTTCTAAGACTGCCCATCTATAAATAAGTGTTTATGATGTCCCTGGACAACTGTTTTGATTTGTGGGGAGGTGGGGTAGGGATAGCATGTGTGTGTGGGGGGGGGGGGGGCATTATGTTGACATAATATATTAATAAAACATAAATTTCTAGGACTGCCCATCTTTAAATAAGTCTTTATGATGCCCCTGGACAGCTGTTTTGATTTGTAGGGAGGTGGAGTGGGGGTAGCAGGTGTGCGTTTATGGAAAGGGGGTGGGGGTTCACGTTGATGATTTTCTTAGAGCTTGGTAAAAACATTACTTTTTAATTCCACTGCACATCTCTAAATATGTGTATACGATTACCATTGTATGGGGGAGGGTAAGTTAATTTTGGGGGACAGAAACCACTTGGTTCAAAATTGACCTGAAAATTGTTTTCTCGAGTTTTCGTTCAGTGCCAATATCGTCATTCAAAATATTAAATTATAATGGTACTTTTCGAGTGATCTTGAAATGTACATAAAAACACATGTTTAGATATTAGTTTATTCTTATAATATGTGCGGGATAGATATCTTCTTGATGGCTGATCAACAGCCTGCGTATATCCTTTGGATATGCTTCAGATACCCATTCACATTGTAAATCTTCATTCCAGCCTTGTATCGCAAAGTCATCTTGTTCGATCATTAATTTTGCAACCTGTCTCCATATTGCTGCAACATAATTATTGCGTTTATTGCAGCAAAAGACTACTCGGGCAAGATGGTAATAAAGAAAGAAAGTTTTGTTATTTTTCATCACAATTAAAATTTCTCCAGAAGATCTGTAAATCGGTTTTCGCCGTACAAGGTACGTGTACAAACAAATTTTTCTAAACCAGCAATAACGTCATCAGAAGCATCATTTGTCTGTCCCAGCTCTTTAAAAATTGTTAGAAATTTGGGATTATCTTGAAAAAGAAAGACAGATAGTCATTACCACTGAAAGGATGTACCGTAGGCCGAGATATTCTCGACACTTTCAATACTAATCTTGATTGGATCAAAAAATATCAAGATTAGTATTGAAAGTGTCGAGAATATCCTAAAACTGACAACCAACCACGAGGACACCAAAATATCTTACCTACTCCTCTTCGCATTGCAAATTAATGGAGGTGCTGAAACAAATTGTATTTTGCGTTCTTGCTCTGGCGAAATAGGCATCCCAATCATTCTCTTCGCAAACAATGATCCAAATATACAAATTTTGATCGATAATGATAACAGGCCTTTCTTTATTACCACCTTGTTGCCATCCGCCATTACCCGCACCGCCCCCCCCCCCCACTGGCACTCACCCCGCCGTCTACCCCCATACAATAGGAATCTTATAAACATATTTAGAGATGTTTCACAAAGCTCTTAGAAAATCATCAGTTAAATCAACGTGAACTCATTTCCCCTCCAATTTTATCCCCACCCCACCGTCCACACGCGCACACCTGATGCCCCCACCCCACCTCCCCACAAATCAAAACAGTTGTCCAGGGGCATCATAAACACTTATTTATAGATGGGCAGTCCTAGAAATGTATGTTTTATTAATATATTATGTCAACATAATGACATCACAGCACCCCCCCCCCCCACCATTGTAGACATTTGACCCCCAATATCTCGAAAACGCCCCCTCAAACGCCCGATCACCATCCAGATTCGAAATCTACGCAAAAAACTGGTCTAGGAAAACTTGGTCTCATAAATTCACAGCTCGGGTCGCGATTCCCCCCCCCCTTCAGCCATCCCCGAAAAGCACTTACACCCCTCACTTTTTTTTATCAATTCTGTTATACCAGACTTCCGTTGCTATTTTATTTTCTTGAGCCACTCAATACATGGTATGGAACGAAAGAGTGTTTAATCCCTCTTTCATGTGGCACCATAGATTATTCCTGAAA